GTTGAGAACGGCCACAACTGCAGCGATGGTCGCAGCGGGATCCATGATCGCAGTGCTGTGGCGTCCGCGCTGTCACTGATCAAAAAGTGCGCGAACTGATTTCCCGCCGGCGCTTTCAGGGAGGGAGGGAGGGCGGTAGTGACTGACGGATGACGACAGTTACCCAAAAGCACCCTCGCCACATTTTTTTACCCAGAAGGCATTGGCGGATCGACCCAGAATTCCAATGGGCGGCGGGGACTGCGGGAACTGTGGGATAGCTGCCCACAGTGCACTGCTTCCAATGTCGACGCTTTCCCTGGTAGTGTGGACTGACAAAGTCGAATTACTGTCCTTAGTGTAGACACATACGTTCGACTTTCTAATATTGATTGCACATATTCGATTTAACTAAAATCGAACTACTCTCGTAGTGTAGACATACCCTTAGTGTCTGATCCACAAATGCTTATGCAAGTGAGTAACCTAAAGCATGTGAGTAGTTTCACTGACTCAATGAGCCTATTCATGAGTGTAAATTTACACACAAGTGTAAGTGTTTGAAGGATTGGGGCCATAGCGCACAAGCTAAAAGGGAATATAATCAATCAAAGCTTGGCAGAATTTGATTTTTATTTTTTAATAATTTTGACAGATATCAATATTTATTTTTAAGCATTTTTTCCAATTTGTATCAATTTAGTTTGGAAATTATGGGAGGTGCCTAACAATTATTTAATGACAGTAGACATTGAGATTCAAAAAGTTAAAGCTTAAAACACAAATTGTCAACATCACAGGTCAAAATATACAAAGTAAATAGACTTAAATCAAACTCCAGTAAGTTCTCAAGCAGCATTTTTCTTACTGTGCCTATGTGTAAATTTTGATTATTACTGATGGAAATATTTTGTCATTGGTTTGCGTGTGTACGGTGAAATCAACATTTACCAATAAAAATCTAATCCTTCCAAGATCAAATAAAACACATCCAACGGCAAAAAAAAAAGACCAAGACAGAAAAAAATAAAAATAAAATTATGATCTCACTGTCCTCTCCTGTGACTTAAATCTTTGTATTGGGATGTAGGTATCACAGTGTGATACACTACAAATATGTAAGCGGCCAATAGTTTAAGGCTGGCTGAATAATATTCCAATAATTTATCAAACTTTTATTATTTTAGTAACAAATTATTCTGTTATTTTCCCCTCTTACTCACCTAGTTTCTAGAACCGGGAGAATAATTTACGAATATTCGTATTTCATTAAATTCTTTGAATCAAACATCCACATATACAGGGTGTTGGTTTTTTTTGATTATTTGCCCAGCTCTAGATAAAGCAAATTAATAAAAACAATTATTGAGATTTTTGCTTTCCAAACAGAAAAACCCATAAGTGATTTAAACTGTAACAAATGCGCTTGAACTAACAAAAAAAATCAGGTCAGCCTGTTTTTGGAATGTAAAGAACAAACATTTCTAAAAATAAAGATAATGCAGGTAACAGCACTTGGCAAGTTCAAGTTTTCAAAAACCAACACCTTCCTGTTCATGTTAGTAAATTAGAAAAATCCAGGAAAAGCATCTCCTTTTTAACCTCTGTTCTGCTCTGTTTTTAACTGTCACTTTCAAATTCCTTACCTACTATATTTTCCACCCATCTGGTTGCTTCTCTAAATGTTGGCACGCAGTAATGCATTCTGTATCCTTGGCAAATTAGGTCAGATTTCTCTGATTTTTTATTTATTTTAAAACAGAAATTTCTGTGGTTTCATGGGAAATGATGATCTTGTAAGGGCAGAAGACGACCCTCTATTCCTCTGCCAAGTTCAATTGACACTGAAAAACAGGGAATGCAGGGTGAAAATTACACTACATTAGAGACGTGATGACTTAGCATGCCATACAGACTCCAGGAGGGAAACAGGGATAACTGCAGGAGATGAAAGTATAAAACATAATAAAACCGCACACTGCTGCTTTAAAATGTTAAAGGGCTGGAGGCAGAGGACATAGCTAGACAGGGAAAGAAGACCTCGTGTATCATAATCTGACACCTTGGAGAAAAGGCTAGCGAGAGCTTTAAACACGCTCAAATACTGTTTTCTATTCGGAGTCCTGTGTGTCTCTAGGATATATATTTTGTTGAAAATATTTTTGGCACTGCTTGAGGGTTCTGGCTTGTCAGCAACAGCGATGCAGAATTGTAAGAGTGGAAACTACAAAGGGGAAAGAGGGGGAGGCGCTGTGTGTTTTTAAACTATGTTAAATGATAAAGTAGGGGTTGTATTTTTTTCATTCTTGTCTCTCTTGCTAGTGGACAAGGGTGAATGACAAAACCCCCAAGGGCAGCTACAAAACTGATAAGAATCATTTTCATTTCACAGCGTTGCCACCTCTCACAATTTTACGCCGACTCTCTCAGCGCTTGGAGTCAGGGGATTATGGGGAAAATTTCAGCTTTCTTTTTTAAAAAGAAAAAGGAGGTTTCTAGCCCTTCAGGTTGTGGAGAAAGGCTTGAAAATGTGCCCCCCCAAGGCTCCAAAACTACCAGAAGGCCAAGAAAAAGACTCCCACATGTAATA